TTAAGAGTATGGGGTGGAAGTAGGTATTTTATACGGCGGATGACACCAATACGCTTAGACAAATTTGAAGATAATTTATTTATGTGGTCTTTCCAAGTTAGTACAGGATCAAACGTTACACCTAAGTATTTAAAAGAATCAACTCTTTCAATAATATCACCATTCAAATTAAGTGAAATATCTTTAAATTTAGGAAGAATGTAGTTTGTTCCAAATAACATTAATTTTGTTTTCTTTATATTAATAATTAATTTATTTTCATTGAACTAGTCAGCTATTTTAGTCAAACAAGAATTTAGTTCTTGTTGTAGAGTGACTGGGTCAGATGAGTTACAAAGTATAGTGGTGTCATCTGCATACATAACAACTTTACAGGACATTACATCAGGTAGAGAATTTACATAAATTAAAAATAGTAAGGGACCCAAAATAGATCCTTGTGGTACACCAATATTGAGATTCATGAGATTAGACTGACTGGAGTTAATTAAAACCGCTTGTGATCTGTCATATATGTATGATTTAAACCATTGTAGCTCAATATCGTCAATCCCATAATAATTTAGAATGGTTCTTTCTGAATCCTGATTGACATGAGTTGATTAAGTTGTTAGCAGTCAAATAATTATACAGTTGATCATTGGTGGTTGAAGGTTTGCTAAACAATGTATAAATATTCTCGCTGAAATTTTTGGGAATGTGATCTGCTTTCGTTTCAGACACACACCGAAACGCACTGTAACGGAAATAATGCGGTAATATTCCTAGGTCTGAGATGGAACGCTGCGTAACCCCAGTGTTATGGCAGCAGTTAGCCCTGACTTATTCATACAGAAGTCAAGAGAAGATTCCCATAATAATGCAGTAACTTAGCCCTGTATGAAAGTGGCTTTAGTTCCAACTGTCTTGTTTCTCCAAATCAGCATGGTTTTGTTGCTTGTAGATCTTGTCTAACTGCACTCACAACTGCTTACCACAACTAATCCAAAATACTTGATAAGCGGAACCCACCCCCAGTTGATCTAATTTGTTTTTTTGACAAGGCATTTGATAGTTTGATAAGTAGTTCTTTGGCCAAACTTATTTAATGTTTATGTTTTGAATTTGATATAAATGCCATTTTTTTGTATAAAAACATTAATAAACCCCGCAAACCTCCAAAAACACAGTGCAAACCCCATCCAAACCCTGTGATAATGATTGAATCACATAGTATAGGACTCAATTTGGTATCTCAGTAAAAAAAATCATAATGTTCCATTCGTAACAACCTACTTTTGGGGTAAAAATGCCATTTTTTGTATAAAAACATTGCTAAATCCTGCAAACCTCCAAAAACACAGTGCAAATTCCATCCAACCCCTGTGATAATGATTGAATCACATAGTATAGGACTCAATTTGATATCTCAGTAAAAACAAATCATAATTTTATGTTTGTCACAACCTATTTTTGGGATAAAAATGACATTTTATATAAAAAAAAATTGCTGAACTTTGCAGACCAGTGCAAACCCCATCCAAACCCTGTGATAATGATTGAATCACATACAGTAGTATAGGACTCAACTTGGTATCTCAATAAAAAAAATCATAATATGTTCATCACAACCTATTTTTGGGGTAAATAAAAAGGCATTTTTTCTATAAAAAAATTGCTAAACCCCGCAAACCCCCCCAAAACACAGTGCAAACCCCATCCAAACCTTGTGATAGTGATTGAATCATGTAGTATAGGACTCACTTGGTATCTCAATAAAAAAAAATATCATAATTTTATGTTCGTCACAACCTATTTTTGGGGTAAAAATGTCATTTTTTGTATAAAAAAATTGCTAAACCCCGCAAACCTACAAAAACACAGTGCAAACCACATCCAAACCCTGTGATAGTGATTGAACCATGTAGTATAGGACTTAACTTGGTATCTTAGTAAATAAAAATATAATTTTAGGTATAACAACCTATTTTAGTGATTAAGTTCACTTTTGGGGTGTCCTGTCTCATTTTTTGTTGTTCTTTGCTGTTTCTTTTATTGTAAATATTAATGTTTTGAGAGAAATAAATGAAATAAAAAAATGAAATGGAAAGTACACACCCCACCACATTTGCTTTTTCTTAAATTGTTGTTTTTGCCTGAACAGGTCAGTGTATCCATTTATATTCGCTAACGAATCCATGTCAACATCTTTAATTCAAGCCTCTGTAAGAACAATTTATTGAGACAAATGTCACATTTGCATTCAGCTCGTCCGTTTTGTTTCTGATACTACTAACATTTCCTTCACATGATCATTGGGAGCGGAGTTCTATGTTTACATTTTTCTATACATCTCCTAATTCCACCTGTTGATCCTCTTTTTTTAACCCTAGTAGAATTTGAATTTCGCAAACAATATATTAGTATTTCGAAGTCAGGTCGGTTGCAGATGCAAATTCCTTACAGCTGAGAAGAAATTTTCGGCTGTATAC